GTTTGAACCTCTCTCTGATTTTTAAGATACAATTTAAGCTGCTTTAAAAAAAATATTTATTTTTTTAGTTGCATTTAGATGCCATACCTTTATTTTATTTATTTTTATGCGGTGCTGAGGATCAAACCCAGGGTCTCGCACATGCTAGGCGAATGCTCTACCGCTGAGGCACAATCCCAGCCCCTTATGCTGCTTTTATCATATAACCAGGGCTTGACTTCTCTGTTCATCCATTCCTCTCCTTTTGGCATACACAAATCATTATGATAAAAGCTAAAGAAAAGTTATAAAAAAAATACCCATAAGAAAGGTTCAGGGCCCCTATGGTGTTAAAAAGCAATGTTTTCAAACAACTGATTATTGAGGTAATATCTAAAATTTCCAGCCTGTGGAAAAAAATGAAAAAAACTATATAAAAAATTATAAATTCTTTTGTGACACTACACATAGAAGGTCCTATATGTATGATGGTTCCACTCATGACTTTTCAGCTTGATAAAGATGCATGGGGCTGGGGATGTGGCTCAAGCGGTAGCGCGCTCGCCTGGCATGCGTGTGGCCCGGGTTCGATCCTCAGCACCACATACAAACAAAGATGTTGTGTCCGCCGAAAACTAAAAAATAAATATTAAAAAAAAATTCTCTCTCTCTCTCTCTCTCTCTCTCTCTCTCTCCCTCCCTCTCTCACTCTATCTTAAAAAAAAAAAAAGATGCAAAAGCAATAGGCATCCAGAAGAAACTTGACTTTGAATTTTGAAGTTTTGCCTTTTCCCAGGTTAGTGACAGACATGGGATACTCTGTCATGAAGGTGGGCAGCATTAACGAGCCGCAGCTCCCGTCAGTCACACCATCTCCAGGGGAGATGACCGGTACCCTACAGTGGGTGTTGCTAAGCTAGGATGCTCCATAGCTTATGCAGTTCCGATTTATGATAGCTTTGATTTTGGATGGGTTTATTGGGACATGATCCTCTCATCAGTGAAGGAAAATCTGCAGAGCTTTGGTATTTAAATCTGAGAAATAGAAAAGCAACCTAGAGCAATATTATTTATGAATACTGTGACAAACAGCGTTGGCTATTTGTCAAAATTTATGCTCCCCCTTCTGTAGTATAGAGCTATTGCTGAGAAGCGGCTGCCCAGTCAGGGGATCCCTTTCTCAGCCATGTGTACTGTTCTCACAGTGGAATGTGAGCAGAAGTGATGAGTTCATTTCCAGGAAGAGGCTTTTTAAGTTCGTGAGGGGCTTCTCCATCTTTCTTCCCCCTCCCCACCCCCACCCCGTCCTCCTTCACTGGCAAGAATCAGAGGATGGGGAGGCTCTAGGGCAGGAAAACTGTGGCCTGTGGACTTGCTGCCTGTTTTTGTAAATGGAGTCTTACTGGAATCCAGCCTTGCCCATTTGTTTACTTATTGCTATGGCTACTTTCACACTACAACCGCAGAGCAGTTGTGACAGACACAGCCTAAAGCATTTACTATCTGGTCTTCAAGAGAGCTTATTCTCTCCACCATGGGGAAACATGATGGAAGGAATCTTCCACAGAGGACTTGTCATGGAGAAGGACCTTCCCTGGACGGTTTAGGAACAAGAAATAAACTTCTCTTGTTAAGAAGTTTTTTGGTTTGTTTTGCAGCTCGTGAGATTCCAACTAATGATGACATAGATGGGAAATCCCAAATAAAACACTAGCAAATTCTAAAAACAAAATTCATGAAAAATTGTTTCCAGAAATTTCAGGACAGTTGGAAAGGTGGCCAAAACCATACGGCTAGGTTAAAGAAGAAATCCACACCATCATCTTTTCATATGTTTTGAAAGCATTTAGCAACCTTGATATTCATCTTGTAAACTATTCTTACTAGAATAGGAATAGAAAAAGACTTCCAAAGAATATCCAGCCTACACCAAAAGCTAATATCACATATAGAAATGAAGGACTATGAACGTTGCCATTTTTAAAAAAATGAAAATATGTCATCATCAGTATAACATAACAAAAAATTATACAGCAAGATATATTGCTTCTGATGCACTGTAAACATACCTATAATAATAGTATCCTACTATGTAACATATCCATAATTATTAAATTGTGTTATATATTAACATATCATTTATTGCATATATAAATTATATGTCCTTTATATGTCACATGCTTAATTTTATAATTAAGTTGGACATTTATATATGATGTTGATATTATGGATTTAATAAAATATAGTATTTGATTCATATAGCATGTTACACTATATAATATATGTAATTTATATAAAATTTAAATAGCTTGCAAATACTAATATGTGGTAAAAAGGATTGATAAATATGTGAAAATTATATATAACATGTCATAAATATTCCATACACACTTTTTAAATGATGTTAATTATATAGCATGCTAGTATCATGATATTGCTTTTCAAGTACCAGCCAAGGCACCAATATGACAAAAAACAAAGAAGCAGGAAATAAATTTATGTTATTTGTAGATACATGTTTGTGAACCTAAACAATGTGATTAACTGAGAAACTATTGGAACTATTAAGAAAATCTTATAGATACTCAGTTACAAAATAAATGTGCAAAATTAATAGGTTTTCCATATGTTAACAATAATCCATGTGACTTCACTTAAAACAAGAACAAGCTTTGCTAAGAGAAATTTTAAAAAATTGAATAAGTGGAGAGGGATGCTATAATTCTGCCTTGGAAGAATTAGAATGTTTTAAATATGTGAGTTCATCATAAATTAGCCTCTAAATTCATTGCAATCCCAAGAAAAATTCTAACGGGATTAAAGTTGGTATATGAAAAAAAGATTCCAATTTGTATCTAAAATACACTTCTGAGCTTGGTATGGTAGTACACACTTGTAATTTCAAACCCTGAGGGTCTCAAGCTCAAAGCCAGCCTTAGTAACTTAACAAGGCTCTAAGCAATTTAGGGAGATCCTCTCTCTAAATAAAATAAAAAAAGGGCTGGGGATGTGGCTCAGTAGTTAATTGCCCCTGAGTTCAATCCCGTGTACCAAAGAAGGAAAAAATAAATAAACAAACCACTCTGACAATATCCAAGGAACATTAGGAAACTTAGAGCATTGTAAGGAAGATTTCAAAAATAGATATCAAGACGAATTGTCAAATACATTATAAAATTGTGGGAAAAAATAAAATTAGACTATTAAATTAAACTAAGCACTTTAAATAAAATTTCAGATGCATTCAGGATTTAAATGTAAAATGAAGTACTTTGAGAAGATAATCATGGTGAATAAACTATATGCAAACTATGAAACTATACTCTTTTTCTTTGTAGTTTCTAGAATAGATTTAACTATACAAAAATCTAAAATCGCCATAGGTTAAACCACTGTACACAAAATCAAAAGGCAAAGGACAGACTGGTATAAAGATGGACAGTGCCTGTGACAGATGGGGAGGACTTCCCCCTATATAAATAGCACACACAAAGCAGTAAGGAGGAATACGCCCAGCAGGAAGAAGAAAGCCACAAATCAGCAACGACATACAATCGCATGGAAAAATAGAGTCTCCCTGTAAACCAAAGAATGCAGATTTAATTAAGATCTGTTGCCTATCATATAAAAATTACAAAAAAAAAATAAACTCAAGAGCTTGCAATAGAATGTTTTAAGAAATGATAAGAGATTGCCTGAGGGAGACTTTCTCCGGCTCTGACATCCATCCTATCGGAGTAATGATGGAGAGAGAGCACTTGAGCACTCTAGGCCAATTTCAAAGGCAGAAGATATTTAGTGTGGAGGGAGAGGGTGAGGAATAGAGAAAATCACAATGGGATATATAAGTGGGCACCGAGAGAGGAGTCAATTCACTTTCCCAGAGTTGATATTTTCTTTTTGGTTGTTTTTAGTTACACATGAGGGTAGAATCCATTTCGACATAATAATAAAAAGCATAAAATATATCCTGTTCTAATTCAAACCCCAACACCTCTCCTTCCCCTTCCCTTTCCCCACCCCCTGCTCCCTTCCCTCTATTGATCTTTCGGCCATTTACCCACAGTTAAATATTTTTAAATGAATACAGATTCCAAATGTATCCATTTATGTGGCCTCTGAATGCATGAGAGAGAGAGAAATTTCAGAATATGGATAAACCTGATGATAAGTTTCATAACAAACTTAGTTTTTGATTAAAAATGCCCCTTACCTGGAGACAACATATTGAAACAAATATATATTACTAAATAATAGGTACCAGGAGTTCTCACAATTGTTTGTGGGCCTGATTGGAAGAAAGTCAGTCTACCCATATGACTCTTTAGCCCCCCTTTCTCCTTCTACCACTGTTTCCCCAGGTTTCACTTCAAGTCCCCCACATGAATTCATCATTCGAAGGATTTTGGGGTCCACTTGGTGCCAATTGTTTAAGAGGTCTACAAAATGATTTTACTCAGTTTATGACAGCATTAATGTCTATGTCTCTTCCTTGAGTATTGGAACTTTGACCCCATGGAGCACAGCATATTCACATGCACTGTGTAAAAATGAACCTCACTCCCATGAGCCTGGTACGGTTATCTCCATCTTGGTCACTTGGGTAAGCCCCGGCAACACGGCAGCCAAACTGGGCTTGAAATCCAGGTGTTCTGGTTCAGGGCTAGTGCTCTCTCCACTGGACTGGTCCACCCCCTCTTTAAAACAGGGAGTTAAAGAGGACTGTGACCATGGCTCCTAAGCATGCAACCAGGTAAGGGACCTGTTTTGAGGAATACATCCAGTTAGGTTGTCAACCTGTCTGAGTAAAGCAAAGTTGGCCTGCGTTGACTTGACCTTGGAGTGTTTGTGACCGAGTTCCTTCCCCAACCCTAAGAAGAAATGCTCAGGGGCGTATGTTGGGAGAGGACCCTTGGCATGGCTTTTGTCCAGTGAAAGGCCACTACCCCAAAGTCCCTAGCATGTTGAGCTTTAGTTGCCTTTGAGCATCCAGGGATAGGCGTGCGATTTGTTCGAACTACCTTTTATGGCTTCTTTCACAGCAGAATCTACTGGGAGTATGTTCTTCTCCACCAGCTCCAGTGGCCCTGGTCGGAGAGCAATCTTTTCATTGAGATCATCAGCGAGGCGGGCTCTTTTCAACTTCATCTGAACAGTTGGAATGGACCTCTCTGCAGTGGAGGCTGAAGGGTTGAAATGAAAGCGATCACTTTTAGAATCTGATGTCCTTTTTTTTTTTTGGCTTGTGGTTACAAAACATTGTGTCACACTTTGCTCTACCATCCTAATAATTTCTCAATGTAATCATCATCACTTCACAGGGATTAGCACCAAAGACCAGACACTTCCAAATAAAGGCAAATAGTGAGGCACATAGAAAAGTTAGAGAAACTTGCTTCGTGAGGATTTTGTGGAAAGAATATGCAATTTGGCAATTTCTTAAGAAGCAATCCATGGTGTCTATGTGGCCTGCCTGACCCTATGCTACAGGATTTGGATAGTGAATAGCACAGGCTGAACCTGCAGTAAATTTGATCTCTGGTGACAGTTTGTAGTAGTAGTAGAAATATGACTTCTTAGGGGCTTTAGAGTTGTCAATGCTATGATACTGACTGACAGTCAAATGTCCAGTTCGGTTATAACAGAAAAAAATTTTCCTGTGAAACCATGATTTAATCAGAGGGGTGTTAAAAAATTGAATTTATCCAACATGCAGTTTCTCGTCATTTGTAGGTTAAGAAAGGTCATGTAACAGATCCCTAAATCCATCCCTATATGGAAGACATCAGATTTCCTCTTTAGGGTGGGTGCTGACTCATTTCTGTGGAAGAACTTTGAAGGATAACCCAGACAACCTATTGCTTTAATGGGGGAAATGTAAGTCCAGATTCAATAAGAGTTTGCAGCTTTGCTCTCAACTTTGCAAATTTAGAAGATGAGATCAAGACTCCGAGTTCCATTATTCTACCATTATTACCCTACTAAATCTAAACTTTGTGTCACTGACTGATCTAGAATTCTCCATACAGGAGAGGTCTGGGAAGGTCTAATCAGTTGCAATAGACCAGCTTTGTCTAGAAGCTGCATATGCCATAAAGGGAACATCTGTACTACAAACCAAAGAATGAGGATACTAAACCTCACTTTTCCCCAGACCACCCCTTGTGAGACTTCCTGGTTCAGCATATTCTGATCCATTCTGCATATACACCCAGTACTAATTTTCAGCAAGTCCTGTCTTGTATCCTTCCAGAAGCTGATCCTCTCCATCTGGGTCTCTCAAACTGGTTTTCCAAGTCTGCTACAAACTGAATCCCCTCTCTTCCTGACCATTGCTATCCATCCCAAACCTACCACCCCAATGAGCTTTGGCCCTTTTGTACACTCCCATGTCTCACAAAGTCACTCTGTACCTTTGCTTACTTTCTCTCCCCAACCTGAAATTCTTCTATTCTACTCCTCACCATGAGCTTCTCTTTTAGGTCCATGATCAAAGCCTAACTAATTTCTCCTGTTCTAAGTTTTATAATTTTTTTTCCTGTTCCTAATTTTTTCCTGTTCTTTGCTTTATTTCCTCTAGAAATTATGGGCACTGGCCCCTCATCTTATATTGCTGCTTCTGAATTTAGATAATAAAACTCTTGGAGGACCGAACCCATATTTCATCTAACTAATCTTTGGTGCTCCAGGATGCTAATTCCCAATTTCTGTTGGGGAGAAGAGAGAATTCCATGAGAACCACCTGTGACATGTGACATAAACAAGGGACTACTCACAGTCTGATATTTTAACTCAAAACCATAATAATGCAGGGAATAACTCTTGTGTGCTTATGTGTGTGCTGGGGATTGAACTCAGGACCTTGCACATGTTAAGCAAACCTTCTAGTGCTAAGCTACACCCCTAGCCTCAGAAATAACGTATCTTGTGCCTTTTGGTTATAGCATCACTTCCTACTCATTATCATAAATGTAAATAATGCCCAAAAAGCATTCCAAAGAAGTGGCCTCAGAAACACCTCACTCAGAGTTAACGACTTTTAATACTTGGGTGTTTTTCTTAGTTAGTTATATTTATTGTTAGGTTTATATTTTTTTACTCAGACTTTGACTTTAAATGCAGTTTACTTATTTTTTCTTTCCAGGATTTAGCTATAAATACAATTTTGTTTTCTGCTTCTTTGGCTAAACATCTTGTAAGCCTTTTCTCATTAAGTGGTTATTCTTTGAAACCCTTGCTTGGAGTTGGCTATGTGGAATTCATTCATACCATACAGATGATCCACAATTTGTTCGGCTAATTTCCTATTGTTGGACTTTTCACTGTTTTGCCATCTAAAGTAATTCCATGATAACATCACTGTATATAAATCTTTGTAGGTCTGATCTTTTTCTTTAAATAAAATACTAGACATTGTATCATAAGGCCAAAGGGTAGATACATTTTCAAGGACTTTGATACATCTTCTAGAAATGTTGATCTCATTATACTCCCAGCATCCGTGTGTCAAGAATGCACGTATTTCCCATACACTTGCTACAAATAATGTTGATTTTTATTTGCTAACTTTATCATCGAAAATTCTATTATCTCCCTTGAAATGGCATTTCTTGGATTATTTGTACAGCTGCAGTCTTGTGATGACACACAAAATGTTGTCACTGCAAAGAGGAAAAAATTTTGTCACCTCCACCTGAGAGACCTTGGTATCCTTTGGATGCCTCCTCAGGACCAAAACCCTGCAACCCTCAGATCCCTTCCCTTGAGTTTTACATTGTCTTTCTCTCTCTTTCCTACTCTGAAAATAGTTCTATATCTTATAATATCCCACCTGGTCCAGGGTTGGAAAATGGTCAGGCTTGGGAAGCCAGAATGATTCAGACATGATGCCGATTGAAGAACCAAGAGTCACAACTTTCACGATATTTCAAGACTAGCTACCGTCTTGTAAGCAAATCTGCATTCTAGCAAAGGAGGGCTGGTGCAACGTGCATGCTGTTCCCTCAGTTGGCAATGCTTTTCCTCTTTGCTAACTGGCTCCAGCCTTCACATGCCAACTCATCTCCTTGCTCCTCCCCAGAATCCGTTCTGGTTCCTATGACTCTCTTATTCTCTTCTGTGCATCCACAACACTGTGCATTTTCTCTCTTTTCATGCTGGACTGTGAAAGCGGAGTCTTATGTCTACTTTCTCTACCATCCTCTGAGAGCCTTTGAAGGGCAGGAACCTGTGCCTAATTCATCTCTGTACCCAGAAGGTCTGGCAGACAAGCCGGTACCTAGTAGACATTCAATACTTTTGCCTATGGAATAAATATTTGATAGCTAAACTGTCAAAGTGAGAGGAAGGCTCTTTGAAGCTGGGCACCAGTGGTCTAGGAGATTTCCATCCCAGGGAAGACAATCCATGGAGCAGGAGTCAAATCCTCTCTTCCCTTATCCAGCTGTCAGAGTATGGGGAGCAATTATTGGTTTGCCCTGATTCACCTTCCCCAAAATAATAGTGGCACCTTCAAGTGGAACTGGGCCTGCATTGATCAACACTGTTTTTTTTTTTTTTTGTGTGTGTGTGTGTGTGTGTGTGTTGCTGAGGATTGAACGCAGGGCTTTGTGCATGCAAGGCAAGCACGCTACCAACTGAGCCATATTCCCATCCCCAAGTACTGGTATTCTAAGACTATATTTCCCTGTGTACCCAGCAGAGGAGAATCAAACAGTTACCTAGCAGATACAGAAGCAACTAGCGAGCTTCATTCGTTTTCTCAAATGAACAGTGATTCAGATGAATAAAAATTGTCAACACATATTGGATAGTTCCTATGTGCTATATGATTTGTCCAGGCCTTTAGGGTTAGAAAGTGACACAGCTTAGACTGGAAACTAATTATGAAATCTTCCTAACCCATATATATGGCTTTCCCACTTGATTTTTCTACATGGCTTAGAATAACAAAGTTACTAATTGAAACCTCTTTGTATACCTCTCTGTAAGGAAGTTGCAGGTAGCAACTGCATAAGACAAAGAGTTCTGGAAGCATGGCCCACCATTCAGTGGCCGTCTCTTAAGTTTGATTTCACCTAGCCTTACCTTGGAGTATGTGCATAGTAACCAAGTCGGCACGGTTGGATCTGTTTCTGCCCTTGCGTTTCAAGGAATCTTCAGTCTGTAGACCATGAACAAGGAGAATCACTTAGTTTTAATTCTTGAAAAGTTCAAAGAGTAAAAGTACTTTTTAATGACAAATGGAAAAATGCAAATATCCCTGGTCTCCCATGTTTGGATGGAAAAAAAAAAAAAACACTTCCAAAGTCCCCTCCAGGAATTTTACCTTAGGGAAATAATAGAGAGGTCAAAAGCTTAGGCCCATGTCAGGGATCAGATAGGTTACACATTAATAAAATATTTATATAACCATGGATGATATCAAGCTGCTTCTATTATAATCCATTCTGAACTATTGCCTGTTGAAATGGTCACAAAATTAACTAAGGTCAGCGATGAAACATTGTGTAAATCCATCTGCGATCATGACAACTTATGGCCTTTTTGCAAGTTTTTTGGTGACTTAGCTCTTAAAACATGGAGAAATGTAGATTCAGACTTTGGAAGGCATTTAGGGACAGCTAATTTGCTGCTTCCCCTTGTCTTCTGGATCGTAAAGCTGTCGGGGGATGACACAGGCTGTGGTAAGACCAATGAGGATCCCAAGCCTCTGATCCCTAGGCTCTTATCTTACTATATTGGGATCTCCTCTTGGGTCCCTGAGAAGGGCCTGGGGGTTTCTGCAGTTCTGATAAAAGACAGTCTGGTGTTCTTTGTTATTCTCCAGGTAGTGGGAATCACAGCCACTCATGAGCAACTTTGAAGAATTGCAAAGTCCTGTTCTTCCTGTGTGTCCACTGATAAGTCACAAGGCTAAAACTCTCAGGCAAAAAGACAGATACCCCCTCAGCCTTTCCTTCTCACTCAAAGTGCTGATGGTTGCTAAATAGTATTTGTATCATTGATAAATTCAGGTTGCAGAGATTTATTATGAAGGTATGACAGAATATGTCAATTTTTCTCCCTTCAAATGCAAAACAAAAACAAAAAAAACCCCAAACAATCCCCCCCTCCCAAACAAAAAAACCTCCAACTCCAGAAAACTCTGGAAGGAAAATAAATATAATTCCCTTTGTCTTTCTTTAAGTAGCTGCAGATAAATTCTGTATTTTCACACCTTGACTTAAATCTAATCATTGAATTGGATTTGAGAAAAATCTTTTTGTTGCTAAGAAAGGACCATAATAGAAGGTAAAAAAGCTTGCAAATCAACCTTACTTCCCTTTCTAAAGTCTTTTTGACCTCTGATGTATCCTTGCTGTGATCCTTTTCAACATTAGAAAGATTGAGGACATCTTTATAACAAAACAGCAGTTGCAAAACTCCTAGTTGATCTCATTTCCACAGTCACAGGACAAAGATTTCTTATAGTGTCAGGGCAGGAAACTGGCCAACTGATGGAGTTCTTTGTAGAAATTCTACATGCTTCAGCCCAAACTGTGGCCTTTAGAGATCTATAACCTATGGTTTAAGTTCACGAAAGACAGTTTGCAAAAAATTACCTTGTCACTATCCAAATTTTTTCTTGGCTCATGGAATTCAGTTGGACTTTTCAGTGCTGAAACAGAAAGATAAAGACATGAGCAAAGGCTGGCCTCGGGATACTGGTCAGTGACACAGGGTTTGCTGGTGTGCTTGCTGAGCTAGGCAGAGTCTGGAAGTGGTCGCCATTATTAGGCCACAAGCAAGAGAAATGTCTGGAGGATGGCCGCTGCCCGGAAGCCACAGGAGACAGAGGAAGGTGGAATTCAGGCCTAAGTCAAGAAGAGCAGCAGAGGCAGAATGTGCAACAGAAGAGGAGTGGAGGCAGGACATTCCAAGCTCCTGAAGAGACAGAGGCACCAGAAGTAACCTTGGTTTAAGGGAGGAGTTAGACAGGTAACTAATACCTTCTCTGACTTTGTTCTGCCCTTGAATTCCAAAGAGTGAGTTGACAAGTTGTGATCTGGGAGGGTGTGGTGTGTATTGTCGGAAGAGACTGTACTTTGGACCAAGTGACTGGTTGGTCATGGACATGCAATCAAGGCATTGGGTGTGAAGCAGAGAATCAGACTTGGAAGGGACCTTGGAGATAGAGAAGTCCATCTCCAACCCTGCATGGTTTGGGGAAAATGAGGTCCACAGATATGGATTGACTTGCTCAGGTCACAAAGTTAGGGCTTAGGGCCTAGGTCCTCTGATAACCCTAATCTTTTACAGGGTGTGAAAATTCACATTATTACCAACTAGTAGACACTAGAGTGCTAGTTAGTCATATAAAAACACATGGTAGTTGTAAACCACCAGGACCAAGTGCCACCTTCACTCTGTCCTCTGCCTCCTCCCCATTTCTCTTTTGTGATGATTCATTAAACCCTTTGAATGTAGCAGAGTCCTAGAACAACCCTCAGCAAAATTCTGCATTTTGTATTGGTTTTTCGGGTCCCCTGGAGCAATCTCATTGGGAGCTACGATCACTTTTCATTATAAATGATGAGGTTGCTCAGAGAGTAGGGCATTGCATTGATGTTTTTTGTACTTTAAGTATGGGTAAATTGATGATTCCCATGATTCAGAGTTCTCTGATCACTCTAATGGATGTCCACTCAGGCCATGAAGTATGCTTCTAAATCTTGGCCAGAATAAAAATTAGGTTTCTGGCCAAATTAGCACTTGGGGTCATAAGTGTGTGTATGCATGCATATGTGTGCATGTGTGTGTGCATGTGTGTGCATGTGTATATGTGTGTGGGTGGTGTATGCATGCATACATGCCTCTTTCAGCCCTTAAGACCATGCTAAATCTGCACATGATTTCAGCAAGGCTTGTTGGATATTAAGCAGATGTCGTATGGTCATGGTGGGCATCATAACAGTGGATGGACATATTATTATTCTCTATTTGGAACACTGTTTAGGAAGTTAGTGTCATGCTGTCAATCAATCTTCTTGCTTCACTCCAATATTGACAATGTTGAGCAGAAAGTCATGTAAAATATTTCCAGCTGGCTGGAGTGTGCCCAGTCGAGTTGACAGGCACTCTTCTCACTTGGACCAGAGATTAAGCAAAAAAACCAATATTTTGTTTGAACATCATATCTTTCACTGACCTGGAAACTGATTTTCCAGATGTTGTTTTCACTCTTAAATTGGGCTTCTCGGTCACACCTGCTGCTATGTAAATGATCCTTTGTCCACATTTCTTCCCAGTTAGTGACTTTGAGAAGTAAATGTGCAACTCCACTCTGTGGCTTGTGGCATTTTTCTTTGGTCTGGGGTTGGGCTCCGACCTTTTTCTGGCATTTGACAACAGGTGGAATTTGTAGCAAGGGTGTCTTGAAGAGTGAGTCTGTTTTCTCTCAAAGCAACCAGATCACAGAAAGTCTGCTTGAGGTCCAGTGGACACCTGTGAGCCTATGCAACCTGCATCAGTTGGTCTTCACCTCTGTCCTATTACCTGGTGTCATTTAATTAAGTATTACATATTGGCGAGGCTTAATTACTTTCAAGTGATCTTAGAATTGATCTTTATGAAGTGGTCAAAAAGAACAAAGCATCCTTTCCCTAAAGAAACTCCCCCCCCCCCAAAAAAAAAGAACAGTATGAACTTATCTTGACATGTCTCTTACATTCCAAGCACAATTGTTTCTAATTGAGCTTGGGACGTAGGAGGAATTTATCTGGTTCTCTTATCCCCTTGACTCTTCAATTCTCATTAGTGGAGCTTATTTATTTTTTTCCTAAGAAACACTGGATTTCCTGAAACTTAGCTTTGTAGAGCTAAAAACTCGTTACTTCTTTGATGCTAATAACTCCCCTGTGAAATGATTCATAGGGTCCAGTTTTCTGATGCCAGGAGCACAAAGTTCTTCTAGAATCTTCTATAGGATGGGAAGCTACGTCCATTTAGCAAGGTCTTGGGAAGAATACAAAAGAGATACTTACATTGCTTTTACCAAATGTTCTTCTCCTCACAGCTGGGGGTGGGGTGGGGGTGAATTCAGCCCTTAAACTTAAGAGGGGTACTGGGCCCCATGAAAAATTCCCCTACAATGGCCCCGGGGTTGAGTTTTGCCTTCTCTGTGACTCCAGAGAATGTGGGCTTTAGCCATCTCCCCTGCGGGCCCACAAAAATCATAATGCATCCCCCCTCCACCCTGGTTGATTTTTTTTTTTTTTTTTGGAAAATACACAAAGGACCACTTCTGCTGCCAACCCCGAGAGTATCAAATGGCAAAATTTTGTATTTAAAGGACATTGACATTTAAGATCGAAAAGGAATTTGGATTCCTAAATTAAAAAAATAAGTCCATGTGATTTTGAATTAAAATATGGTTATAAATCCAGTCAGCCACACATCTGACGCGTTCCCCCTGGAGGAAGATTAATCGCTTCTCACAGGGGAATTCATGTTCTCGCCTTAGAGTTTGGTTGCCGGCTATTCCTATTTCGGTCCCTGAAGCTCCAGCTAATTTGGGTCAGCTGTGTGTATAAACATTTGCTTACTTAGAACTCAGAAAACGATCTGGAGATAAGAACGAGCCTCTTGCAGTCCTCTTTGCACCAGTCAAACCTCTCACTTCCAGCAAGATTCCAGACAATGGAGAAAATAGGCCTCCGAGAACTTATCGAAGGCAGAGGCCTGACTCGTCTGAACTGGGCAGGATGTGGTGTTGGACTGCAGCTCTGGCACCACAGGGAGTGTTGTGGCAGAGCTGGACTTCTCTCAAGGGAACCTCTCACTACCAGGCTCAGGGAGAACTCAGCTTCATGGGTACAAAGGATAAGAACCCAGGGACAGAATCAAAGAGCCCCAACAACTAAAGCCATGTTTCCCAAAGTGTGGCTCCTGGGTTACATCCTCAGCATCAACTTGGAACCTGCTAGAAAGTCCAATTCTTGAGCCCCACGCCAGAACTACAGCATCAGAGATGGGGGAGGATGGGACCTAGGGATCTGTTGATCGGTCCTCCAGGTGATTTTAATGCACAGGTTTAAGAAACATTGCTATGGAGTTTGTAAGGCCAGTGGGTCCTGATCTAGGGTCCTTGGGAATCTGAGTTCAAAAAAGGAGCGATAGATTGCTAGGATTGATTTTCAGTATTTCAAAAGGTTGAAGGAAAAGGGTATGTCTATCCGGAGAAAGGATGCTCGGCTAACCAAATTGTCATTTTTTCATTGCCTCTGTCTGGAATCATAGAAATATAGCTTGGAAATGGTTGTTTTCATCAAAAAGCATTGGATGATAAGTGTATATGCTGTTAACAAATAAAAGCAAACATATGGATTAATAATTAATGTATGTGGGGTTTTTGAGGAAAGACACAACTATTTCGTACATAATACCTATGGCAGTTTAGGTGTATAATTAAAGAAGTTCTGGGTGCCATCAGATTTGGGAACCCTCTATTTGATCTCTGTCCTTTTCTTATCTATTCTTGGTATAACCTTGAACTAGTCCAATTAGCTTCCTGTGCTGTTTCCCACTTATAAAACAAACTAAGTAATGCTTATTTGCTCTCTGCTTTCCTTTTAAAGACAGACTGGATCATGAGTACTTTCTTTTTTAGCAATTTGGATATATGCTATACACAAGTGATAACACTTTGGAAATTATATTCTCTTTTTAGGTTGGTGATAAATTGCTTATTCGGTACCCAAATTATACTCTTAGGGGTCTGGAAACAGTGCATTTTTCTAATGTAGCTTTGTAATATTTAAGACCTGGCTTTTACAGTTGTGGAATTTGATGCAACATGCGTGAATACTTTGGAATTTTTCCGAAAAAGGATACAAAGACGAATTCAAAATGTGTCTGCAATGACTGGTTTTGTAGTTTCTAGGGATCAGGGAATAGAGACATGGGGGTGGGAGGTGGGACTGTTGACCCAAATGGGATTGCCATGAAAATCCAGGGCACCTTTCCTGTCTCTGAAGTTGAGATGTTAGAAAGAAGGGAAGAGGCAGACAGATTAATCCCCTCGTGCCGTGTTCTGCTCAGACAGCCAACAGTGTGTGGTAGGGTGCTGTGGGGAGAAGCCAAGTCAAATGAATGCACTGAGAAAAGGAAGAGAGACTTTGTCCAGTCCACTTCTCAAAACTATGGTGAAGCTGCATGGGGCGCGGGAGCAGGGATTGCCCCGGTCATTCTTCTTGCTACCAGGAAGGTCACAGAATTCGGGGATTTACCAAGGCTTTGCAGTAAGTATGTGGCTGCTGTAGCTTGGATTAGTCTGCAAAAAAAATAAAGGCAGCACCATTCATAGACAGCTCATTGTATCTTGAAATTCATTGACATTGATCAGATCATGGAATCAAGCTGCCCAGACGATTCATTCATGTCAGTGACAGCTTTCTCTGACACTCTAGGGACAGATAGCACCCTGTCTGGGATGTACGTCCTCTGGCATCTGTTTTACTTCCTCTACTCTCATCTTCTGTTTTCAAGCTTTTCTTCCTGTTTCACTTGGGTTCAACCCCATTAGACTCTCTTTAGTTGCAGAGAGGGAGAGGAAAATGTATGATATTTTCTTTCTTTCAATCCTCCTATGACCACGCTCCCGTATGGACATAAAGTTGTTCAAAATTGTTACAGGGGACAATTAAATAGGAGTGCTTGGGGCCCCTTCTAGACACAGGAATGTGTCTGATTCCTCTGGGTGAGTGTTCCCCAGAGCCTTTCACATAGCAGATGGCTATTAAATATTTCCTGAATTGCTCTGTGGCCATTTTATAGAGTGTAATCATGGGACTGGTTGACCTTCTACACTAAGGCTTTGGAATAGATTGGAATGAAACGTGTCACTGAGGATTCTACCCAGTAGAGTGATGCTCAGGGTAAAGAATTGTAGGGAAAAAAATATGCACCAGAGAACTACAAGGGGAAGAAGTTAGCTTTGTCCTAGAACCATGAGAAGGCACAGGGCTTTGAGGCCCTCTTGCAGCCTGAAACCTGGTAGGGAGGGACAATGAAGTCATTTCCTTTGAGTTCTAATAACCGTGGGAAATTAGGCAATTCAAAATCTCCATTTTGAGATTCAGAGGTTTTGGAAAGAAATTCAAATGATAAATCTTTAAAGTAATATTTCTAAGTTCACTTTGAGAAGGTATTTCGCCAAGATATCATGACTATTTAAAAAACTAAACAGCACAGCTGGTATTACAAATGTGAGAGCAATCTGAGGATATGGCTGAGACCCACACTTCTGACCCAAGAATCCTATTCTTACTGCTCAAAGTTGTTCGAGGGGTTCTACAGTGACCTTAGAACCCTGTCCCTCTTGACTTTTAGTCAAGAGATGATGCCTTTAAGTTCATTCAAAGCACCTGAAGAGGGGAAATCCTAAACTCATAACTCATACCAACAAGAACAAAGTGATTACTTAAGAGATATAGGGGATTATAAAACATGGTTTGTGGCTGGGGGCTGGGGGACTGCTTTTTTACTGATCAGCAACCTTAAAATCTGCAGGATGCATAGCTAGGAAGAGGGAAAGAGGAGAATTTCAACCCTGCTGGACCAGTTGCACCCATCGACTAGGAAATATACGTGGTTTAGCTCTGTAGAGTAAGTGGGAGAGAAATCTTAAAATTGAATCAGCATCTCCCGAGTGCAACTCAAGTGAGATCTGCCACAGAACTAAGTCAGTGGAGTTTTTCATTGGATGTTGGTCATAGCAAAGCATAGATAATCCTGTGGAACCTGACGCCATTTCATTAAAATCATGGGCTTATCCTTGGCATATGCACACCTTGTTTTTAATTTGTCAAATTCCAACTGAATTTTTTTTTATGACAAAAATGTAAGTAAGTGCTTTTAAGAGTCAAGTGATTCCTTCTGAACTTTGAGAAAATAGGCTTACATGGGGATTGGGAGACCCAGATTCTGGCCTTTTCTCTGATGCATTACAAGGGGGCTGCATTTTTTGTTTGTTTTTTTGCAAAGGACAAACTCTGAAGATTTAACCTGATGTAAAATGTGAGACCAATTCTACCCAAGGATGGCCGGTATTTCTGCTGACCAGCTCAAGAGCACTGCTGTGTGTTAGCGGTCTAAGAATAGTCAATTCACTTGGCTCTTCGTTTTGGATTTAGGAAATTTATGATAAGTTTTAAAAATTTAAGGGAGGATTGGAATTATTTCAAATTTCATGAGCAAAGTGAGCTCTTATGAAAAATCTTATTTTGCATGCATTTAAATTCTCATAAATTAAAAACTACAGAAAATGGGATCACATTGGACCTGCCTTTGAGACAGCTGGAAAATTCTCTTGGGTATCCTCAACCTCAATTTCATGAACATTAAAGACAAATAAGGATTTGACTAGGTTAGTGTTTTTCAACTTCTATTCTGAACAGAAGCAGCAATTGTGTGAGGATTCTCATGGGGCTTCTGGAAGGAATAAAAAGAGGCCCAGGAAAGGAGGCAGGGGCCCCACCACTGTCTCAGCCATTATGCGTGTACACACACACACACACACATATGTGCATATGTGCATATGTGTATATATTATTTTAATAAATAAAAAATTAAAAATCTTAGACAAAAGATTTTTGAGGACCATTAGTTTTTCTTCTATCCTTTCTCCTTTGTTTCAAAAAATTCATATAATAGGGATAAAGAAATAAAAATAGCCCTCTGTGGAGCTTAATGAGCTCCACATTGAATTACACTTGTGTGTTCCTTGTCATCGTAACTCCTAACATCCTGAACTTCTCTGGAGGATCACGTTGCTCAGGATCATTGTCCCTCTGGTACCTGCTTCAGGACCCTGCACCTCACCTGGTTTATACTAAAATTTGTGGCCTTAGATTGAAGTGAAACGACCCTGAGACTCTGTCACTCTTTCCTTCCCCTGATTGCTTGCATTTACCCATGAACTCCACAGCTCTGCCTTGCGTGCGCATGGCATGTTTAATCTCAGATCGGACTGAAGAAGCTACCCATGGGCAAGTGAAGAGCCTCATCTGACTTGAGCTTGCTGAGTAGAACTAAGTAGAAAAGGTCAGCTCAGGCAGAGCTTGCCATGTGTGCCAGATCTGGCTTGCACACTTTTCCAGAGCAGAATCCATACCCTCGACCCATCTGACAGACTCTACACCTTAGAAGGCTGGTTGAGAAGAGGCGATCGGAAACTATGGATAACCTTTAGCATTTGGTTGAATTAATTTTTAAATTTTTTTTTTTTTGCAGAACTGTTCCCCTCCACCTCAGAAATTATCTTCATGATGAAATGGACTATGGATGAAGAATTTCTGTTAAGTAGCATTTTGCTAATGTCTATACTCTTTGATTATGGAAATCCTGGAGAACAGAATTTGCATCGACATTGGACTCAACTACACAAACAGAAGCTTGATTTCCACAACTGACTTGAGAAGTGTTATTTAAAAATACATTGTAGGGTTAATTGCTGTTAATCTTGGTTGTTTCTATGGATTCCCAGATTTAACCTCAAAACCAAAACAACACAACAACAACAACAACAACTTCAACAACAAAAACCTCAATGTTTATTCTCATCCCAGCAAGACCCAGGCTCAGAGTATTCAAGCACATGGGTTGAAAGTTTTTAAATAATTTGTGAACAACTTAGCTGCTTCATTCGCCTCTCCAGAATTAAGAGGAAAGGAACATCAGTGAAGACAGAGATTATCAGCTTTGAGTGAAACTATATTTACCTGACCGGAGGTCTGTCTGCAGGTCCTTGGTTTCCCTCTGTCTTTAGCACCTCCACAAGAGGGCTGACCAAGATGAAATAGACCACACATGGATTTCCTTTCTTTGGTTACTTTTTGCTGCTGTAACTGTTGCTGAAACAACCTTGAATTCACAAGGGAGCTGTTTCCAGCAGACCACTAAAAATGTGGCTCTGTTGGAAGGTCACCGACCATTGAATTTTTAGTGCTACTCTGGCTCTGAAGCAGAGTAAACTTCACAAGACTTCAGGATCACTAACCACAGGACAATCTTTCAAGGGCAAGTTTGTTCCTTACAAAATGCTGAATAGTCATGTTAGTATTATAGAGGGAACTGAATTTCTCCAAGTGTTATGAATCTTAATCTTTAAATTGTATTGGGGAGGAAGTTAGTATGATCAGAGCACTTTGAAGGTGATTCCATTCATCCGTGACTGGAATCCTGTGATTCCATTCATCTGGGGCATTCTTCTCCCAGTTTCCAAAGTTAACCAAGGATTAGCTTTAGTAGCTAGATTGATAGAACATTTCAAATGTATCTTTCAAAATGGTATGAGAATCTTTCTTCTTTGATCCAGAAATATGGCCAATAATTCAATATTAATCAATACATATTAATTAATAATTAAGTAATTTGATGGTCCTTTGAGCTAGACCGGTATTGCTACTCAGTCTTCCAGAAAGGAAAATAATTGACCATACCCAATTAATGGTAGACTCAAATATTCCAGAACTAAAATAAGGGGTGAGAATAAACATTATGGGACTGACCCTTCTGGAAAGAATATTTATAATGCCCAATATTAAAAGTAGGAAAGGAGTGAGGATGACCATAGTGAATTGTTTACCTAAGAAGAAACTCATGTCGGAATTTTAGGCACAATCTGTACGGTTAAAGGGAGCCCCTTGTGGGTGAGTGGCAGGTGGGGCAAGGCATCCCACACCTAGATTTCTGCTGACACAGTTTCTATAAGGCTCTCGGGTGATCAATTCATTGGCTTACATTAAATGACCTCTGAGGTGCTTTCCAGCTGCGAAATGGCAAGGTCCGATGGACATAGAAATAAGTAAGAGCTGTGGGTACTCACGTGGTATGAGGCCTTGGTTAGCCAGCTGCTCCTGGGTCCTTCTCTGTTGAAGTCGTAACTGTAAAACTTAGAAAAGGAAGTGCTAGTTTGTGAGTTGGGCTAAAGATATTTCCCATCCACTTTATACTTTAATCATACTTTCGTAGCCTGTGTCATTTTTATTTCCAGAACAGTTTGGAAAAGTATCGTGCAGTACATTTTCATTTCTGTCATACACGCAGAGAAAGAAGACTGAGAGGAGTTGAGTGGTGGCAAGGTTTTACAGGAAGCTGGTAACAATCTAGGATTGGAATACTCTTCTCTTTTAATTTATTTATTTTTATTGGTACATTGGGATTATACAAAACAATGGGGTTCATTACGCTATATTTATACATGCAAGTAATTTG